CAAAAGCCATTTTCTCCAGGGAGATTGCTTTGATCATCTCAGTTGGAGAGAAGCTCACCTTTCTTTGAACTTCCAGAGGATCACATATGGTTCTTATCATATTGTACTTTGTGATTTAGCTATGTCTATAGTATCACACAGATAAGATTTAATGCTTTGGAAAATTGAATTTATTTCTTTTTTTATGCTTTTTACACATAGTCTTGAATAATGTGTTCTGGATGAGTGAAAGGATAAAATGACAAAAATCATTTTCCCAAAATTTGGTATTATTCATGCCAGTGCCTGAAAATAGGGGTCCTAAATGTGGTAGCATTATTCAAAATGTTCAGGGGTAGGGTCTTGTTTGGTAGAATGTTTTTATCCATTAGTAACCACAGGAACCTCCCCTGAACAGTAGCACAGGTGGGCTGGCACTGGTTTCCTTTGGTAGTTGTTTTGCAAATTAGAATCCCATCAGAACTTGCCCATGGCCGCCTATTGCAATTAATAGGTGGAGTCCCCCCCTTGCCTTTTATTTCTAGTACTGGAGATTGACCTCACAAATGTTGGGCAAGTGTTTCTACCATTGAGCTAGACCCTCAGCCCTTTTTATTTATTTTGAGACAGGGCCTTACCAAGTTCCACAGAATAAACTCAAACTTGTGATGCTTACAGGTACATGCCACCATTCCTCAAATCATCCTCTCCTTTCTCATTGTTCTCCATATACTCCTATTTGTACTTTCTATAAGTCAGAAGAATCTGACATCCCCTTTGAAATTAAAATATTTTGGGGCAAGAACATGTATAAGCTTTCTTAGAGACTTTGGTGCTCTCAATTTCTTGGGGGAGTGTAGCTCACTTTGTGTCAGTTATTTTTTATTTGTATAAATAATTCTCCCTATGAGGGCTGAAGTGTTATGGCTTACCTCAATGCCTCCAATTTAGGAAATCTGATTGGTTTTGGCACCCCCTTCTCCATACAAGTGCACTATTCTTGGTCTTTTGTACACTGTATAAGTATTTTCTATCTATAAACAATATTAGTGTGATATTTTATTCTCATCTTCTCCATGTCTACTGTGTCAGCATTCTATTTAAGAGGGTACACTCTTTGAGGACATGGATTATTTCTGTTCATCGAACTCTGAGCACCAAGCTGAATCTTCCAAATTAGTACTCATTAATGGCAATGGTTCTAGTTGTGATTATGGCTCATTTGGAGACTATAGTTTGCTTACTCAGACTTGGGAAAGGATGCCCAACCCCAGCTACTTCCAGCTTCTAAGGTGGGGAGGCATTCAGGTGTGGTAAACTTATGTGTAAAAAAGCAAAGCCCTTTGAATTTTCACTATCCATTGTGAATTACTACAGGATCCGAATAAAAAACATTAATAATGGCATAATGATGGTGACATCTAATTCATCCTTAAGGATACTTAAGCTGTTTGTGTAGCTCTGTCGTTATATTACTGACATAGAGCCAGTGAACCTGTGACCATCCCAGACAGGGAGAGAAACTCAACAGTAAGTGTATTCCCTGAGAGACATTCATTTCCTAGAGACTTTCTTCTTCTTCTTCTTTTTTTTTTTTTCAAATGTCTTGCTGTAATTTCTTTCATTAAATCTCAGAATATTAAGGTATAACATAAACTTGACTAGGATTTTGTTTGATTTTGGAGCTGCTTATCCAAATGATTTATAGAGTGGAAATGTTTATAATTTGATTGTTGTAAGTCAATCTCATACCAAATTAACCTCAATTAATTTCTTGTGTAATTAATTGTACAGGTAGATAGAGAGGCTGTAAAAGATCAGAAATGTTTTTGCTAGAGGAGTGGAATATCCAGGTCCCAATCTTTATACAGAAAATCTTTCAGTGAGAAATCTCATTGCATATAAGTGAGGAGGGGAACTGTTCCCAAAGAAACAGTCCAGGTTTGAAAAAACTGGAAACTGCTTTCTGCATCTCATAGCAAAGGCCATGTTGTAGTCTAGCCAATAAGTTCCACTCACGGGGATTTACCTAATTATTTACCTAATTATTTAGTGCACATCATAGCCCCTTTGTACAGTTCCTTTAGGAATCGCCTGGGTTTTCCACTTCTTGTTGCAGTTGATATGAGTGAAGTCCAATAAATGCTTTTCCTTTTCCCCTCTCTGAGAGGAGTTCTGTATAAGCAGCCTTACCTTCCCGGTGACCAGTTAATGAGAAATGTGTCATTATGAAAGCCATTTGGCACTTGCAGAACATGTGACTGACACAGCACAGGCTCAGCAGCAAATGTCTTTTAGTTTGGACACGAGTTTGATTGACTGGGTCCTATCATCAGAGCTGCTGTTCAAAGGCTCTGAAACCATAGTAGCAAATACTAAACACAAGTAGAAGTTTATTAAATTTAGACCTTGTCCATAATTTCTTGTATTCAGAAAGGAAATACAATCAAGTCAACAGGACCAGTAAGTGTGTATTTTTGAGAAAGCCCCTCTGAGTCACCAAAATTTCTTGTTTTAAAGGAATAAATATGACTGTTCTCTTATGAACAGATAGATAGCCTAAAAGAGCAAGAAAACAGAAGTCTCTTAGCAACTGTTGATAGGCTGAGATTTTAAGTCTTGAAACAGTGCGTTTGGTGGAGTTACAATTTGTTGAGTCTCAAGTTTTAGGTACTTTTTATTTAGAGATAGCTGTGCTGGAGAGGAGCTGTTTGTGTCATCATTGGATTTTTAAATTTTTGAATAATTGCAATTGTATTCTTAAAAATCATATTTTTAAATTAATATCCTAATCTCTCTCTCTCTGACATCAGCTTTTGTTAGCAAACACAGGTTGGCAGTCATGGTTTAATTAGTTCATTTTCCAGAACTTTTTGTGATTATTTTAGTCCTCAGCGACAGCATTGCTAACCCTATGGCAGTAGATTCTCCTATGATCTCTTAGCAAAGTGTTAGTGTTGAAAAGAAAAAAAAAATTCATATGTTTTCATGCATAGACACAAGAATGTCACTAAACATGGTGAATACTAGTGAATTGTTACTTAGCAATTGCTGTCAGACTGGGCACAGTAGTGTATGTAATTCCAGCAATTTGGAGGCTGAGGCCAGACTATTGCAGGTTCTAGGTCATGCTAAGCAATTTAGAGAGACCCTGAGCAACTAAGGGAGATCCTAGCACTAAATAAACAAATAAATAGGACTAGGGATGTAGCTCAGTAGTAAAGAGCCCCTGTRTTCAATCTCTAGTACCAAAAGAAAGAAAATTGCTCTCAGGATTGAAAATTTGAGGGAATAATTAGCAACAGTATGTTGATCTCTTTTTAAAGAACTTTATTGAGATATAGTTTACATACTAAAAAGTTCATCCTGCTCATTTTTAAATAAAGGGGAAATATTAGTAGATGTTTAATGACAAACTACTTCCCCTGTTATAAAGTATTAAATATTAGTAATAGCTGTTTCAATAAATTTCTGTAATAAGAGGTTCTTTCAATATCAGATGATCTTTAGATTTTCTAAATCTGTAATTAGGTAAGACTTGAGTGGATCAGGAAGAATRTGGTGGTCCTTTGTGTTGGAGAAACACAAGTTTATAAGGGATAAAGAAATGCTTAATCATGTTGGCCTGTTGCCAGTGTTACAAAATATCAAAAAATTTCATTCTAAAGTAAGCAATAATCAGATTAAAAAGAAAGATGAGGAAAACATCTTTTGAGTTGTAAGTAGAAAAGAACATGATAAGAAAGTGATAAAATCCATCCTCATTTCATGGTTTTCTTTTTTTAAAATATTTTTTGTATCTTTATTTTATTTATTTTTATATGGTACTGAGGATCAAACGCAGTGCCTTAGACATACTAAGTGAGCACTTTACTGCTGAACCGCAACCCCAGCCCTCTTTCTTTCTTTATTTCTTTGGTCCTGAGGGTTGAATCCAGGGGTGCTTAACCACTGAGCCACATCCCCAGACATAATTAAATATTTTTGCAAAATATTTTATTAGAGACAGGGTCTTGCTGAGTTGCTAAGTGCCTCACTAAGTTGCTGAGGCTGGCTTTGAACTTGTGATCCTCCTGCCTCAGCCTCCCCAGTCACTGGGATTATAGGCATGTGCCACGGTGCCCAGCTTGGTTTTCTTTTAGAGCTGATTAAACCATCCTCCTTGTAGAATATATACAGAAAAGGTTGTGAAACCTGAGAACTGGCATATTAAGTAGAATAAAGTCAATGCCTGGTAACTACGATGCAGGTCCTAAAATAGCACTTTGTCAGCTTCTCAGGAGTGTTATGTCTTTGCCTTTATGATTATGACCGTTCCCTTCATTGGCCCTTCATCCATGACTTTTATGCTGTTTCTCTACAAGTGTGTGCAAACGTGGATGTACACATGTGTACACACACACACACATTGTATGTATATATACCTGATCAAAATATTTTTGGATCTCATAACTAGGAGCTGCTTAAGGAGCCCATTAATGATAACACACATACCTGTGTTCACACTCACATGCTCCACACTCCAGTCTCTTGGCTATAAACTCACCACTTATTTTTGAAACAAATAAGTTGTATCTAGTTTGAGTCAAGTCTAAAAATACGGGATGAAACTAAATAATTGTCTGAAAGATAATTGAACATTGAAGACATCCCAAGAAATATACAAGCTATTGAAGGCTTGTTCAGGAGGACTTGAAATAGGTCAGGCCAAGAATATCCTGCAGAGAAAGCATTTCATATTCTGGAGCTGAGCAGACATGGGTTTGTATCCTTTTGTACCACCAACAAGCTTTGGCATCAAAGGAAAGTATTATGTTTCGCTGAGCTTCAGTTTCTTCCTGTGCCAAGAGAAGATCATCTACTATAAAGATTCAAAACAATTAGTGCATAGTGCTTATTTGCAGGGCCACATTCTCCTGGGATGCATTTTGGCCATGGTCAGTGACATTAATCTGTGTGATGTAGCGGACTGTGTCATGCCTTCATACCTTTCATGCTCTTTGCCTTTGTGCTTCCTGCAGGAACGATTCCAGGTGAAGAATCCTCCCCATACATACATTCAAAAGCTCAAAGGGTATCTGGATCCAGCTGTAACCAGGAAGGTAAGGGGATTTGTTTCCATTCTGTGTTGTAGCTTCCTCATTAGTGGACAGAATCCTTATGTACTTGGAAAGATTTTCTTTCCCTTGCATTTGTCTCTGCCAAAGCCTCTAGGAAAACCACCTTTGGATACTGAAAACATGAGAAGACAAGGAATGAGGGTACTCACCATCCTCCTTGCTTAAGGAAGCATTTAAGAGTATTTTGCTCCATGGGGGTCACATACCTCTAATGGTTATTGACTCTCTGCTATTCAATTACACAGGGCAGTGAGTCCAGCCCAAAGGTGGGTAGGCCCCAGGAATAGCAGGCTTTGCAAAAGGAATACTTGTCTTTCATGCTTTGGTGCATTTCTAGAGACTTTGAAAAATCATTGGGGCTTTGTCATCCCAGCTGTGCAGTCACATCCTGTGCTGATACTTTTAGTAGGTTCCCTGCCCCAAACCCTGCCTCTGGCCCGAAGAAGGTAAGGAAAGAATAGTTGCTTCCATTCTCAACTGGCTCTCCTTTTACAAACAAGCCCTGCTTTGTGCAGCCACACAATTGGTTTAAGCCGATCCTTGTGGTAAAGCATGGAGCCTGGCACGGCCCTGCAGGCCTGGGTGGGTCCTGGGATGTCTCAGGGCAGAGCCTCCTTTGCTCAGGATGGATGAAGTGGCTCTTCACCAGACAGCAGCATTTGTTTTTTCCTCGACCTTCCACAACTCCTGCTTTCAAGGATCCAGTGAAAATATCTCAAGCTGAATTCTCTGTTGTCTTGGCATGTGACTTATGAGAAAAGAAAGGCACACTTTTTCCGAGGAGCCAGTTTTCAGACCTCTTGGCGCTTGAATTTTTTAAACTAAATCTTTTTCCCTCTTTCACGCTAACCCTTCCTTATTCCACACCTCCCAAAAAAGTCAAGCAAAGCAAAAAAAAAAAAAAAAAAAATGGATTTCAAAAAGTTTTCTAAAGGTTTTCATAATTTCCCAAACTTGTAACTTCCACCAGGCTGGATGGCTTGAGCCCTGTTACTAGGCACACGCCTTCTGAGCTGAGTAGGGCAGAAATGCTGATGTCTGCACACAAGATTGAGACCTCCTGTCAGAGAGAGAGAGAGAGAGAGGGAGAGAGAGAGAGACTGTTTTGCTGTCTCAGAAATCATTTAACAAAGTGGAATAGGACCCCAAATCCTTGTCTGCATGTTTGCTCCCTGACGCCTCTGCCCTGAACCATGCGTGTCTACCCAAATCCCCTGGTTTGATCTTGAAGGATGAGGCAAAAAACAGTCATTTAAACAGGCAAAAAAAAAAAAAAAGATAAACTGGAGGTTGGATTAACTACCTCTGCTGTAGTAAGATTTCTGTTGGGAGCTGGCAGTAGGAGAGGATCTGTTCTGCACAACATAGTTATAATGCTTAAAACCCAGAGAAAAGGGAGATTTGTTTGGAATAAGGCATGGCTTGCAGCTGAAATGAGCTTAAAATTCTCAGCCCTAGTATGGTGGTGGTGGGGTGATTTCAAATCAGAGCTTTAAATTTTAGCACCAACAGTCTAGGTTGAGCAGTCTTCCTTTAACTGTGTCTGGAGCCCTCTAGTACTTCATTCATTAATCTTTTGTTCAAATTAAATGGAAATAGCTTTTTTTTAAAATTTCTAAATTCTTTAGCATGTTCTATTTAGATTTTCTTTTCAGTAGTTTTAAATGAAGCCCTCCAGCGCAGGGAAGGAAGAGCCTAAATTAGATATCTCTGAGACCAGAACTCTCTAAATCAGCCTCCGTGTTTAATATCAGGCACTTATTAGACTGTGCTTGGGGGGAAGGATGTATTCATGTCTGGCAGGGAAAAGGCTGCAGACCATGAAAACAGAAATTTTTGCCTTTGCTAGAGCTGCATTTGGGGAATGAAACCTTTTGTGTGGCTCACCCTGGGGTCAGCTGCCGCCCTGGGTTCATCCACAGGCCCTCCTTTTCTAGGGAAGGAAGGAAAAGAGTACAGAACAAATGGATTCTACCTGGCTCCTCCTTGCTGGTCCCCCTGGGCTCATGATTTCTCCTTGAAGTGTTTTAAAGCATTCAGGATACATTGTACAAGTGCAAAGTGTTAGCACTCATTGTTTATGTGTTAGATAGAGAAGGGGATTCCAAAGCTTCTCTATCGTCTAGAATCCAGACTAAAATTGAGCTGTTCCCAAGATAGTACAATACAGGAATAAAGTCTGGTTCCATTTACCTCAGTTATCATGCGGTTGCAAAAGGACAATGCCCAGGATGGTCAGTGCCTAGGAAATGTTAGCTGCTGCTGTTACTATTATCTAGTGCCTTGATTTGGTTACCTTGTTTTGAGATACACACACACACACACACACACACACACACATTTTAACCCTTCACCTGATCCTCATAAATGCCATTATGCTCTCACTGATAAACTTGGGCCTTTGGGGCTGATGATGTGTAGGGGACAATCTTGCCTGAGGAGGCATAAGGCAGAGTTAGGGAAGCAGCAAAGGCCTCAGGGAGCAAGTCAGAACTGTGCTTAATGCGCAACTTGGAATGCTGCAGTGTTTTCTGAAGGCCCCATGTGCAGACAGCCTAAGACTTAGGACTAAGGCGTGAATAGCTACTAGGGAGTGGGCAGCACACCTAGAAAAAGCTGCTGTGTAGTCTCCTCACAGGTCCTGTCTTCCTTTTAGCAAATGAAGAATATAAGGTTTTCTGTCTTTTCTCTTTCCTTCTATAATTGCCCACCTCACCCATTGATTCCTTTCTATTCAATTAATGATTTTAATCTCCAAGGGAAGTGTTTAGAGAATGAGTGAACAACCCTTTAGCCAACCATCCTGCTGTGCTCCCCTTTCTTGTCCTGTATTGCACTGACCATCTTTATTGCTGGAAAGGGGTTGAGGAATCTGGGCTTAGATGTTCCTCCAAACATCAATGACCCTACCATTTCTTAGTTTTTTTTTTTTTTTTTTTTTTAATGAAAAAGGGAATGTTTCTCTTTTTCATTGCATTAGGGATATTTTTATTTACTTTATCCCACTACGTCTGGATTTCCAAAACATTACATCTTCTTAGCATGTTTGGGGAATAGCAGTTATGGAGAAACTGTAAGGAAGCCAAAGGGAAGAGAAGAGGGTGAGAGGAGCCTACCTAAGCTGAGCCGTGTTCTAAGTCTCCATTAGGCCACCAGGTCCCAAGTGTGTGACAGGGCTCTTGCCACTCCACATACTCAAATCTTTATTTTCCACCTCCTGCCTTTCCTTCCTGTCCTTGGACATCTTTCTCTGAAGCCATGAGAGCCATTATCATCAGGGTTTGGAGCTGATGACTGTTGTTTCCACAGCACTTGTGACAGCAGAGAAGGGTCCTTCATATCCTGAGCATGAGTTCACATGTAACTCATAATGTAATGTAAGGGTGGCTCAGGTCTATGACTCAGGTAGCCTGGTTAGAAGGGATGGCACATCAATTTCCTTCTTTCAGCATGGCTTGAGACTGTGGTCACTATAAATTAAATGTTTCTATAGAAAAATGTGTTCCAGAGAACTAATTGTAGTGCAATCCATTGGTGTCTTGGAAATGGTTTAGATTCAAGAGGATAGAGAGATATAGAAAGATTCATTAAGAAAGAACTCCCAATGGAGTCCTGGAAGGGCAGGTGGGATTTTGATAGGCAAGAGAATGAGGAAGGATATACTGCTTATATATGGGTATGTACATGTGGGAGATGTTCCACAGGAGAGACCTCCTAAGTGAGGACTAAGGGGCAGAGATAATGATGAATGTTTGTTTTTGGAACACATTAGGTGTAGCAGAGAGGAATTTGATGTAGCAAGCTTGAGACTTTTCTGTGCTGAGCAAGACCTGCTTGCATGGCTGGCATCTGTATTTTGGGAGGGTTCCCACCATTCCCTAAGAATGGCTTACTGTGCCTAAACTGTTATTGAAAAAAAAAATGGTTTATGCTGAGTGCCCATTTTTCCCCTGGGAGTCTGGAATTTTGCCATGAATAAGGCAGAGAGTGCCTTGGAGACCAACTCCCCCCCAACCCCAAGTGAAAACCTTAGCTGCTGGGTCTCCAGTGAACTTCATGACTGTTGTCATTTGTGATTCCTGGGGGGAGGGGACTGTTGTAAACTTGCACCAGGTATCCTGCATACTTCATCCCTTTCATCTTCTTGCTTTGCCAATTTAGCTTTGCTTTCTTTTGTTGCAATAAACCACAGCTTTGAGTGTGACTATATTCTGAGCCCTTGAGTCCTCCTAGTGAATCACTGAAATGGGATGATCTTGGAATCCCTGACCCGTAGCTATATTGGTGAATATTATTATATATGTGGAGTAGGGTAAAATAATCTACTTACTCAAAGATACTACATGAAATAATTTTTGTAGTTTTTTCTCATAAGGTACTTTTTATGATAAGAAAGATTTCTATGCTTTGGGGAGARGGTGACAGAAGCCAGCTTCAGAATAAAGATCTTTTCATATTTTATTAAGTTTATTATAAGAAAGCTGTAGTTGCAGCAGTTGCTGAAGTATGTTTTGTTAGAATCTGTGTTCTTTGATTATAGAAATTCAGAAGGCGTGTACAAGAATCTACACAAGTGCTAAGAGAACTGGAAATCTCTTTAAGAACTAACCACATTGGGTAAGTATGCCTCTTTATCATCTTAACTATAAGACCTTTGGGCACTTTACAAAGTGGCTGAATCATTTCCAAAGACTTGAGTTTCCTTATTGTTCATTCTAAGTTAAAAGTCAGGTTTATATAGGGTGGAATCTTTTGATCCTACTCAGCTTCCTTACTGTGCAAAATCATTAGAAGGAGAGATAGTCCTTGATTTGGCATGTATATATATATAACAATTCTATATTTCTTTGCTGCAATGCAGTAAATATGGGCAGTCCATGATGAGTGCTTGTTCTCATGTGTACATGACAATTCTCTGGAAAATCAGGAAATCTCCAGAGTAGGTGTGGATTGCCATGTGCAGTGGTGCATGCTTATAGTCCCAGCCACTTGGCAGGCTGCAGWAGAAGGATCACAAGTTTGAGCCCACCCAGGGAAATTTCGTGAAACCCTGTCTCAAAATGAAAAAGGTCTGGGGGTGTAGCCCAGTGGTAAAGTGTCCCTGGATTCAATCTCCAGTATTTAAAAAAGGTAGGAATGGTGTGGACTGAGATCCTAAAAAATCTCTAAGCTTTCATTGTGGTTCTTTAAGATGGTGAGTTAAAGGTGCTTTATTCCCCTTTCTCAGTTCCCTAGAGTTTCTGGCCAGAAGGGGACAGAAACTGGAGTGATGTAACCTTACCCAGTCTAGACACGTTCCGAGTCTCTCATTCATACATCTCAAAATCTTGGGACCATGAAGTATAAATCTTCTCTGGGAAAATAAAGTTCAGGGAATCTCTGCACTGGCATTTCTGAGAGTTTCTTGCATGCAACAACATGGTGTTTTGCCTCAAGCAATACAACTTTATTACATTTTTTCTTATTCCTGGGATGGCATAATTGAATCTTAAAATAAGGTGGTTTGTCTGCAAAGCAGAATGATAGCAGATTTTGTAGCCTTTGTTCTGCTTTAAGTATGTGTTTCTATTAAGCAAGTATTTAACTTTTTTGAGGTTTGACTTTTTGGACTTTTCAGTGAGAGGACATTTTCTTCTCATGTCCTCTATGATATATTTTGGAGGTATATTGAAAATGGAATTATATACTCATATTACATATAGGTTATACATTACAGTTTTCTTGTGTTTCAGACCATTATTGGTATAAATCATTAAAATGGTTCATTAGTACGATTATTTCAGAATAAATCCTTTTAGGGGTTTTGGGTGAAGTAGCCTAATGGTGGAGAGCATGTCTAGCATGCGAAAAGCCTTGGGTTCAATTCCTAGCAACCACCAGAAAAGAACAAGTTTTTAAAATTGTAGAAATGCCATTGTGATTTATAGATGAGAGGGTTTGGGTAAGGTTGTTCCTTTCCTTTCCTAAAGGATAATCTGGCAGATTTGTGACTTTGAGAACAAAGTCTCCAGAAAATGAAATGAGCCTGGTCTTTGTCTACAAAAATGGACTTAGAGAAATGAATCAGAGAAAATCATTATTGTAGAACTGGAAGTGGAAGAGAAGGTTTGCCCAGTCCCTCGTTTTACAGATGAAAAAAATTAAGGCCCAGAGACAGCGAATTGCACAAAGTATATGGTTGTAGATCCAGGTGCTTTGGCTCGAAGCTCTGGTTTTTCAACTTGCTTACCCTGGCAGCTCTTTCTGTGAAGGAAATTAAGATAATCGGGACTCTGGGATCAAAGCAACGAGGCTTGTCTGTTGAGGGTGATGTTGATGGTACTTTAATACAGTTGGGCATTCAACTTGAGAAGTTGAAATACTTTCCAATATTTATGGGTCAGGAATGAGATTTTATTTGGTATGGTCCAACCCTATATCTTGGCACTTTCTTGACTGATAATGGTGGAATGAGTTGTAGCCAGGATTTCTACAAACTGTCAAAAAACATTTCTTCAGGCATTTATGAAATATCTTGAAATTGACCACCAAATACCAAAGCAAGACAATCATTTCCAGTACAAAGTTGTCAGAATAGAAGAGTCCTAGTTGGATTGAAGCCAGTGTAATCTGCAAGCAATTGAAATGGTTTGTTGAGGATACTGGAGGTGTGCTGGAGGATTTTTAAATTTCTTCCATCTTCACTTGCTAAAGTTTTCCCTTGCCCACCACTGAAAACTTTGGCTTTAGCAGCAGAAAAAGTCATGGAGATGCATCATTGTTTGGTATATGCAACCAATTACTGGCATAAACTTATCTGGAAAATAAAACCACACACTAAGATTTTGACCTGTCTTTCCCATCCCAAACACCTGGAACTGAACTGGACTCTTCATTATGTAAACTATCTGGCTAGACCTCATTTGATTGGGAAATCTTCTAAAGAATTACTTAATGATAAGGATAATAAATTATTACCATGAGGGAGTATTGGAAGGCAATGTGCTATGTAAGGGATCAATAGGTTTTATCATAATCCTTTGAGTTAAATAATGTATAATTTGGTGTCTATTTGTCTTATGAAAAGATATATTGATTCAAACTTTTGCCATGCCCCCTTTTAGTTATTTGACCTTAGATATATTACATAAACCCTCTGCACTTACCATGTGAGCTAAGTTAACTTATCTGTAAAAATGAGTGTGTGAGCTGAGGATATAGCTCAGTGGTAGAGCGCCTGCCTATCATGCCTGAAGCCCTCAGTTCAATCGCCAGCAGCATAAATATGTTAATAAATAAAATGAGTGTACTAATACTTAGCTCATAGGGATGTTCTGAGAACTAAATGAGATAATTTATAAAAGGTCTTCTAGAGAATCCTGATATGTAGTAGTGACTCAATATGTGATAGCTATTATTTATTGTTATGCTTCTGGCAAATAATATCTACTCATAATTCAACAATAATATACAATACATCCCTAAGGAATTCCATGCAGAGTGTTACTCCATCTAAAATGACCCTGATACCTAGGGTATTGTGAAGTTTGCAGTTCCCAGAAATTAAAAGGAGGAATTACATTAAAGATCTACTTGTTCTGAAAAAATTATTCTTGGCACATGCTTGCACTTCAAGGTTAAAGTCTTGGGCTTTGCTGAGATAACATTCTAAGCTGCAGCTTTGTCAAGCAAAAGGTTCTAAGTTTTGATATAAGCCTAAAACTCTATAAATAGAGCAATCTTCTGAGAAAGAAAATTAATTTTCTTTGAGCCAAATTGAAATAAGACTTGGGCTAGGAATAATCCCATTCACTCACTGTTAGGAGCTATCACAATAGAGAATTGGATTATAACTTATCCAAGTCCCTGAAATTACTTGAAATACCCTTGAAATGAACCAAGTACCATTAGAACACACTGGCAAACAGCATGAGCAGGCAGATGTCACCATGCTTCTGATGTCAGGGTGATAGGATTCAAGTGGTACTAAGGGTGAGCTGGATAGATTTACTGGCTTTGTTCTGTGGAACTGAGGTGTAGGTGATCTCCTGGCGGGTAATTGATTCTAGTAAAACTGCCTGTAATGATGGACAATTACTTCTTATCCAGGGTGCAAGGTCATATAAGTTTTGAAAGATGCTTCTTTCACTTTATCTTACGGGTAGCTGAGTGAACAGGCATGAGATTGCAAGAGGAATGGGGTAAGTTGGCAAGGAGGGGAAGAGGTTTGTATACAAGGGAAGGAGCTGAGGGACTGCTTAGTGGCTTCTTTGTCAATCATGCTGATTAGACCATGACAAATGGGGAAAGATAGGAGAGTGACCAGGCCTACTTTTAAAATTCATTTACCATGTGTGGGGTGTGTATGTATGCATCAGACTACCCTATGATTAACTCATTCCTACTTTTTTAGAAGTCAAGATCATAATTGTTTTGTCTTTTAAGCACTGTGTTAGGCATGTTAAATGTACTGTTTCATTTATTTCTTACCAAAATCTCATTATTGCTCTTTATCCCTGAACCATTGTTTTACAAATGAGAATATTGAAGGTCAGCTATTAAGTATCTTATTGAACTGCTCACCACTTGGAACCACTGAGGTTTGAAAGTAGATTTGCCCAGATCTAAGGTACATTATCCATACTAGCAGTTCTCACCATTTTTTTTATGTCAGAACCCTTTAAGTTTTTGAACCCCAGTAAGCTTTTGTTTATGTGCATTGCATCTATTAATATGTAACATATTTGGAAATTAAAACATATATTTTAAATGTATTTAATGATTTAATATTTAGTAAGCATTAATTTAGATATATAAAAACATATTTGTATGAATATTAACATTTCATGAAATTAACTATTTTCCAATTTAAAAAATTAGTGACAAGTAGCTTTTTTCTTTAAACATTTTTGCAAATCTCTTTAGTATCTGAATAATAGAAAGAAAGTAGATTGTCCTGAGTGTACGTTCAATCGCTTGTGAGACATTGTTTTAGTTGATGTATATGAAGAAAATTTTTGCCTTTCACGTATACATACTTGAAGAAAGGAAGAATTGTTAAATGCCCTACTCAGATAATGACAGATATTCCTTTTTTAAAAAATAATACACCAGAATTCAACAAGTAGAAATTACTTCCTAAAGGTAATGCTGTATTATGTTAAAATCCACTTGTGTAGTCTTGTATTTTGAATGGATCTTTTTTTAAAAAAATTTTTTATTAGTTGCTCAAAACATTACAATGATCTTGACATATCATACATTTGATTCAAATGGATCTTTTTTCAAAAATATTTTTTTAGTTGTAGTTGGACATGATACCTTCATTTTATTTATTTATTTTTATGTGGTTCTAGGTTGAATGCTCTACCACTGAGCCACAACCCCAGCCCCTTGAATGGATCTTTTTTCCTCATGAGTCTATGACATGATTCCTTCATCCCTCCCTCCCAGGAATGGGAAGATTGAATCTAGGGCTTCACACATAGTATTAAGTTCCCTACTATTGGACTGCATCCCCAGCTATATTTCTTTGTTCTTTTCAAATTTTGAGACAAGATCTTGCTAAGTTGCCTGGAGCTTGCTATCTTCCTGGCTTTTTTCTACCTGTGATTACAGGCATGCGCCACTGCACGGGCTTATAACGTGATTTCTTAACATCACACATTGATCATTGGAAAGCATAATTTCAGTGAGTATATTTGGCTCTTTTAGTTGTTGAAACATGTCATTCTATAATATTTACAATATTTTTTTAAAAATTACATTTGTCAATAATAACCAGTCTCACTCATCAGAATATACTTTTAAATAATGGGAAACTGAACTAGTGGTGAATACATGTTTTCCAAAAGTTTTTCTTTTACTTCGAACCTCAAATTTTGTCACTGATGACAAATACTATCTGTTGTTTTCCCTAAAATGACAGACTTAATTTATTTATTTTTGAGTAAATGACTGCATTTACCCCAAACTGTATCACAATAGTTTATCAGTTACTTTTTTAAAATTATTTTTTTTAGTTGTAGATGGACACAGTACCTTTATTTTATTTATTTTTTGTGTGTGGTTCTGAGGATCAAACCCGGTGCCTCACATGTGCTAGGCAAGTGCTCTACCACAGAGCTATAACCCCAACCCTGTCAGTTACTTTTACAAGTAAACTGGCACTCCGTGAAAAAATAAGTGGCAAGTTCAGCATGCTACTCAGAAAACTGCCCAAGTGCTTTTCCTTGAACGAACAGACATGCTTCTTATATCAGCTTCCTGTTTTTTCATACACAAAATTAAAAAGATATGTACTCAAAATATGTATTGCTTTATTAAGGGTGTTCTCAAGTGAGGCTTGCTTCCCACCCTTCCTGGAGTGCATGGGGTGAAGAATGCAATAACAAGTGTATCCTTTGGGGGCAGCAGTTTTACCCACCATTTCTTTTGTGTCACGTATGTTGGAATTAACAAAGTGCAAAAAGAATAACATCTTAATATTTTTGTGGATATAGTTTTATCCTCATAGTCATCCTGAGTAGGTTTCAGGGATCTCTTATGGTGAGTGGGTTACACCTTGAGACCAGTGTCAAATCTTGATGGTTCTTATTTTCTCTTGTTTTCCATGATTTTTCGGCTACTTCATTTCTTGCCATCTGTCTATAAGCTCTCTCTCTAAAGGAGGCTAGCAAAGGAAATTCATTATTTGTCTTATTCTCTTGTACATATTCTGGCTGCTTTGTTTGATCTTGGAAATTGAAAGCCAGGAGGGTCCCTTAAGACTTAATTTTGCATTTGAGGATAATGAAATCCTAAGATTTGGGGAGGCAAGGAGAACAAAGTTTTGAAATAAAGCTTTGAGCAGTCTACAATAAAACAGTGACTGTTAGCATTTGCGCTTACATCTCTTCTTTGAATCCAGTTTTTCATGATCCCTGTCTCTCCCAGCTTCTAAGCATCTGATTTGGAATTTGCCTGAATTTAAATTTACAACATATGGTAATTACATTTGAATCTGTGAGGCACTTGGGAAGTAATGTGCGCTGTAAGAGCCAGAAATAATTTTACTTTCCAAAACCTGTAATCACCCAATTTGAAACTGTTTGCCTATTGGCAACATATTAAAAAAAAAGTGTGAGTAGCATGCATGGAGATGAAAATGGAAATACATTATTATGGGAACCCTAAATATATGATAGAATCATTACATGATCAAGTATGTAGATTTCCAAAATGAGGCATCTGTATTCCTTAAAGATTTTGCTTTAAAAGTTGTCCCTTCTCATCCTCCTGTCCCCCTTCATTTTTCATGGAAGTTTGCTTTTAGTTCTGTTCTTTTCCATACAGAATAACACAAGTAGGGGAGGGCAGGGGCTGAGAGGACAGGAGGAGTAGGGGGGACTGTCTTTCTTATAATCCATATCCTTCTTGCTAGAATGGCTTTGCTAAGCTAATATCATTGATGAAGGAGATAAGGTAGCCAATCTTCTATGATTTATATTTTCTTCTTTCCTATGTCACTTGGGGATGTCATGGATGAGACCCAGGGAGGATCTCATAGCTTAGAAACATAGGTTTATTGCTTATTATTCAACCAGAAGCAGGGCATGTTATACTCTAGCTAGCCTTTTAGCAAGTAAGCAACAGGCTCCTGAATTTCATGAAAATTGTCATTTAAGGCACTTTTACTCAATGTCAGCATGTGGGAATGAGGACATTGATGAGTATGTTAAAGCGAAGTAAACAAAACCAATTAATCTTTATTCCTGCATCAAAATATATACATGTTTGCATGTTGAGTCAAGAAGACTGCTGCTCTGGACTTGTTTGGCTATTTCCTACCTTTTTTTTTTTTTTTTTGGTTAACTTTTTATGTCTGGGTCATTTGCCTCCTGTCGAATTTGGCAGAACATCTGAGGAGCGATGGGGCTGCTGGTGGTTGAGACATTGGCTAGTATGGAGGGTACCCTGAAGGATCTGTACTCTTCAGAGGCAGTGTCTACAGAATCAACCAGAAGGAACTTCAATGCCTACTTTTCTCTATTTCTGAGTTTGTGGGCAACTAATATATGAAAAATATGTGAAAGTGAGACTGCCCCCCAAATCTGGACCCTTATCGTTATTTTTCATATTAAAAAGACACCGCCCTGGATCAATTGACATTGTACAGTCAGAGCCCATAGGCTAGACCAGTGGAGAGGCCAAGGAGAAGCATGGGGGCCTGAATTTAATGAATGACTAGTTTTCTGATCATGATGGAGAATTCTAGTTCTTAAGTCTCCTGYCAATCATAAAAAGAAAAAAAAAGTTTGCTTTTACTCTTTCTATGCTTGTAATTATCATCATTTAAAATTGTTGAGTGTCTCCTGAAATCTAGCAGCATAGGGAATATTTAAAATAAATAAAGTATCTAGAAACGGATGCTGTGAGAACACGTATGTGGCTGTTTTGGAAACTTCAGCCTCAACCAGCAGGCAGCCCTGTTAGTTGCATTTAGGACTTATAACAAAGCTGCTTTGTGAGAGTGAACAGATGCTGTTTTCTTTGCCAGTGTTGCTGCTCTGGGTTTTTTGTAAAGGTTGTATTCTTACACACAGCTGTGCGAAGTGCATATGTTTTATGGTAGCCTGTCTGAGGCACTTGGGGGATATACAAGTCAAGCTGTCTTAATTTCCCACCTTTTTGCCTCCTACAAAAACCTGTAGATCTGAGTTTGCATCATGGAGGTGACAGGAGCTTGGAGAAATAATAAGCTTGATGCTTAGACAAAAAAATGAAGACCCTCCCTCCATCCAAGGGAGGGGAAACACCAAAAATTTAAAAACAAGCATCCTGCGTTCATCAGATTTTCTTTCTTTCTTTCTTTTTTTTTTTTTAAAGACAAATATCCTAAGTAGTTGCTCATCTGTAAGGACACATGGGAAAATTGTCCTACTATTTTAATAGATAATAAGACTGGCTTCCATGGTAGCTCTAGTGTTCATAGTTGGTCAGACTTTTTGGCACTGCGTTTATGGAGGAGAGCATCCATTTAGGAATGCATTTGGCAGATGTCCCACAAGTACCATTTTGATGACAATCAATGAACTTTTTCCTCATTATTTGTTGGAGTTTCTCAGTGAGTGAAGATTTAATCAGGTCTCACATGTTCTTTGAAGGTTAGTACACTGGAGGAAATCTGTAAAATGGGGTAACAGGTGTTTATCCTCAGTACCTAAACATGAGGTTTGACCATCTGATTGGAATTGTTATGAAGATCAAATAAAATGTCTACATTTTCAATAAAATGTTAATCACCATTCAAACGTAAGGTGGTATTTTTTAAAATTCAATCTTTAAAAAAATATATTTTTATCACGTGTTGCCCTTGGTGATGGCCTGCGGTGCTTGCGGCCTTTTAAAAGGTTTTAACGTTCATGGAAAAAATTAAGCAAATCTTTACCTCTATTGAATTTCCAGAAGCCCATAAACACTGGCCTCTCATTGGCTAGTTTAGTGGTTTCTACAGCTTCGTGTGCCAAGAAGGAGTTGAGTGTGGATTTGGAGCCCTGCCGGGATTTCAGTGGTTATGGCGTCATGTCCCTAGTCTGCTCATTCTCTGTGCAATCTTGGCTTCTTCATCAAGCAGCCTGTGGATCAGTTGTGGTGGAAAAAAGTACATTTAGCAAGTTCCTTTTTTTGGAAAGTTCTTTTATAGGTTATCTTAAACCTCCTAAGCAGTGAAATGCAATGGCACATGCACAGGTTTTGCTCCTTGTTTTTGTGTGTGGAAATGTAGTTTTCTAGAAGCCTCTACCGCATGTGGAATAGCCTAGGTTTTCCTCTGAATTTCCTTTGAAGCATTGTATGTTTCTGACAGAAAAGCAAAACTTGCCACTGTTGTCCTCTCCATAGCAGATCATGTGGTCATGTGGTCAACCTCTTCAATGATTTTTTTTTTTTCTCTTCACCAGATGGGTCAGAGAGTTTTTGAATGAAGAAAACAAAGGCCTTGATGTCCTAGTAGAATATCTATCATTCGCACAGTATGCAGTAACGTAAGTAAAATTTGGCTTGTTTGCATTTGAATTTTATGTGGTCACAGAATATGCAGTTTAATGGTAAAATTATATACCACATTCAGGGCAGGAAACCAGAAAGAGATGTGAGAGGGGTTTAAGGTGGTATGTTTTTGTTGAATAACTAAAAACTAATCACATAATTAATATTAGAAAGAATTTTAGGGGAGAAATAAGCTGAGTAAAAAGCACCTTCAGAGGAACCTTGCTTTCAAAACGAAGTACTTTGTGTTTGTATGTGGTTCTGGGGTTTGAACCCAGGGTCTCATGCATAGTAGAGAAGCATTCTGCTATGAAACTTCACCCCAAAGAAGTATTTTGTTGATGGATGAAGTTACAGATAGCTATATGGTAGAATGCTCTAGAAGTTACTGAAAGATGAATATGGTGTTTTGAGTGAAAAAAGCAAGATGTAGAAAAGTGACTGTTATTTTTTAAAATTTAATTTTGGGGCTAGGGTTGTAGCTCAGTGATAGAGTGCTTGCCTAGCATGTGGCTTTGACTCTCATCGCCACAAATAAAGAAATGAAAGTCCATTGACAACTAAAAAAAAAATTCTTTAAAAAAATTTAATTTCAGGGTGCTGGGGATTGTATGTAGTAGGGCCTTATGCGTGCTAAGCACACTTTACCTACCACTGAATGATTCCCACAATCTTTTTGTTTTTTGCTAGAACTGGGGATTGAACTCAGGAGTATTTCACTGCTGAGGTACATCCCCAACCTTTGTTTTATTTTTTTTTTTTATCTTTTTAATTTTTGAAACAGGGTCGGTCTCACTAAGTTGTCCAGGTTGGTCTTGAACTTGTAATCCTCTAGCCTCAGCTTCTTACAGGTGTGTGCCACTATGCCCAGGCCATCTTTTAATTTAAAAAATAATGTTATTGGTGGTATGGCCAGTGATAGAGCACTTATCTAACATGCGTAAGGCCTTGGGTTCAATCTCTAGCACCCCCCCCMAAAAAAGATGCTGTATATATGTATGTATATGTGTATATGGATGTATATTTATTATGCTAGTAAATGCATAGAAAACAATTGCAGAAATAGACACTGATAGTGCACCAAGAGGGACACCCCTCACTCCTGCCATTAAAAAAAAAAAAAAACTTTTTCTTTTTACTTTATATGTATTTGTGTTGTTTTGATTTCTTGCCCAAAAGTTGAAGGGGGAGGGGTGGAAATACTGGGGCAGACCATGAATCCTTGATTGTATTATTTCATAAATTCTCCCATTTTCTTGACTTCTGAAATGGTTTACAATAGGACTAAAGCATGTACATTTGAAAAATTCTCTTCACATTTTCCCCTTAAGTCAGACACATCCCAGTATCCACAGGTTTTGTTGACATAGATTGAGGTAATAATACTGTAGTTTTAATTTGATTGAAAGATGTTCCAGCCTAGGTGGTACTTCTTCCACCCTCACTGTTCTTTTAAAAGTAGTAACTTGTTTTTTTATATTGCCTCATTCTAAAAGAGTCCTAAGACCTAACCAGATGTTATCATATAATCCTTATCACTTCCCTGAGAATATGTGAGAAGGAAACAATTATTCTCACCTTACAGAAGCAAAAACTGAAATGTTAACTGAAACTGGCTCCATGAGTTTCTGTTTTGTTACCTGTCATATATTAGATGGAATAGACTAAATAAATAAGTAAAAGCCAGCAGATAAGTTCTTATCTCCCTGAGAAATTGTTCCTGAAACATAATCCTGGTTTTTATAGCATGTTCTATCAAAGGGTATTTCCTACATATCTCTGTGATATCAAAATCTGCTAATCTTTTTTATGCTTCATATTATTTGATAAAGCAGAATAATAATCTCATATATTTTGAAGTTCTAGGGTAATGTTTATGGGATTGTGGGAGGGCTTTGAAAAATCAGGAATAATGAATAAGAATACCATGTTGTATATTCTGTGTTTGCTACAAAGAATGCTTTATATATGACAATGCAGCTTGTAAACTAGATTTCCCAGATGTGCCTTCATATAGGATGAATGAGCAAAGGTTGTGGTGCTGTGTTGGAATTCTTGTAGTCTACAGCGTAAGACACTAGCCCACAAAAAGTTCAAAACTCAAAGAGTTCTTGTTTCCTAATCTTGTACTTTGGATTTTGTTTTTGTATTAGCTTTAAACTTTTTGCTATTAGCTTTCATTTGKTTTTGCTTTACTTAGATAATAAATTACATAATATAGTTGGTCTTTTGTATTAATGAAATAAAAAATTTCCTTCTATTGCTTGGCATATCTCAGTTTCCCAGCCTATAGAATGTGAAACAATAGGCTTAGATCCTATCCCTAAAATAGAAGCATTCATTAAGGTGCATGTTTTCTTTTTCCATGTGAGAGTAGGGGCCATAGATGCTGGATGGCTGAATGATTCGAGGGTTGCAAGGGGATCTGGTGAGCTTGTCAATGCCATGAGTGATCCTGGGGTGCCCCTTTGACTTAAACCTCTAGTCTTAATGATAGCTTTCTCTTTTTTGTACTCAAAAGTTTTCTTAGATTACCCTGTTCTGCCTCTTTTTTGTTGAGTATTTCTCTTGCTTCAAAAAGCATGCCAACATTTTCATCAGATCTCTGGAGTGGCTTTGTGCATCAGTCTCTGCGGATCAGGCTTTAATAGCTGGAAAAGTATCACCTAGTTTTCAGATGACTATTCTAATGACACTTTTATTTTGGCAGTCATATTTTTATTTAAAAGAATCATCAATCATTTCCAGTATATATTATTTTTCTTTTGCAATATTTTCTAAGATATTCTGGCGATATTAATTATAGCTCCCTTTATTCTACTRCCCAATCAGGTGTTGTAGAATTGTAGGTAGAAATAATTAATACAGTGGTTTTTGCTGCTGCTGTGGTTTTGAGAAAGCATAGCTACTGATTTTATGAGGAAAAAAGATTCATGGAACACAAAGGTCGGTCTGTTTAAGACTTTGTTCCTAAAACTATACAAGAATGAGCAACTTAACTTGCCATTTATTCTAACATGGTTAGCATGAGTAATAACCTCAAAAAATGTCAGAGAAACAACAGTCTTGCTTTTAAAAGCACCACATTGGGAAAAGATTCCAAAATCAAAGCAAATCCATAACTTCGCTACTAATATATCACATATGGTTGGAAAAGTATACTTGCCAACACACTAGGAGAGAAAGCTCAGTGAAAATTGATGGGTAGGAATAAATTAGCATAAGCCTAACATATTGACTTGTTAAAGCAAAATGAAGACAGCTGTAGGACTCCCCCATTTCTATCATAGCATTTTAGCAATTGGTAAGCTAATAAACCCTATATTAAAATACAAATAATACATCACTATTTAATTTTTTGTTTGTTGTTCCATGATTCTTTTGCAGGCCTAGTATTTGTCATCTGTGCTTTCAATCTGAGTCCGTAGAAATTCTTTTATATTTCCTTTTTAGTTCTGTCTGCAAATACGTACCAAGATGTAAATAAATGTATTATATACACAGCAAATGTACCTATGTATATGTGTGAAAGTGAATTTTTAAGTCTTCAATGACATTCCTCTTTTGTTTTAGTTTTGACTTTGAAAGTGTGGAAAGTACCGTGGAAAGTTCGGTGGACAAATCCAAGCCCTGGAGTAGGTCCATCGAGGAYCTGCACAGAGGGAGCAACCTGCCATCACCCGTGGGCAACAGTGTATCCCGTTCTGGAAGACATTCGGCACTGCGGTAAGTGCCTTTCATCAGGAAGCAGCTTTGGTAGGATGCACAGGTGCAGCAGGGTCCCTCCCTCCTCTGCTGATCCAGGGCAGTGGTACACTCACTGCCTGGACTGTATCAGACTGATACAGTACATCATGCTGCATAGCACTCCATTTCCAGTGATGCTAATGAAAGTTTCTTTAGGAGTTCATGGGCTCTTACTTTGGCCTGTACTCTATAGTGCTGTATGTCTTCCTGGAAATACTATACTTTGATTGAGCACAGAAAGTCAGAAAATTCTGCTGCCAAATGATAGAAGAGAGTAGCCCTCATAGCAGGTAAGTTTCTGAAACTGGGTAGCTGTTGACATCATGATGTAGGCACTCTTTCTAGGATAGAGGCAACACTTTGAGGTCTGAGCATCTAAAGATCCCTTTGTTGTTCTTCATACCCTTCTGGGCCTCTGTTTTCCTCCACTGGTCTGTGAAGCTCAGGTCTGTGTTCTAGTCATTGGTGTAGAATGCTTGACTGATGATGATGATGATGATGATGATGATGATGATGATGATGATTTTAAATGCTTAGGCAGTATTCCTTTGGTTAAATGTGCTTCAATCATCAACTTATATTTCCTCCTTAAGATTTTCTCTTAAATCCTTCCTCACTGAAATACCACCATGATGAGGGAGGATTGGTGCTGACCACCTGTATGTGTTATTGGTGTAATGTCAGTGAGGTTGTTCATTCACTAATACTCTCAATCATTCATTAATAGAAAAATATTTTTGAGCTTTTGTAAGTTGCCAGATAATGCAGAGTTAATTTACATTGTAAGTAAATCAACACTCTTGCCTGTGAAGATAGAGATATCATTTGGAGCAAGTACATGGAGGTTTCTATGGTCCATGAGTTTAATAATAAAAAAAAACTTATTAATAAGATCCTCACTCCCAAATGTTGTTTATTCTTTGTAGATTAATAATTTACTTTCACTTATTTTAAGCGTGATGTGGTGAAGGAACATTAATTCTCTAAGGGTTTAACATTAGTGTGTCTTTTGGGTCATTGTAGTAGAGTCTGAGTGTCATGTTACAGTTAGTGACAATGTGACTTTCATACCTGTCACATTTGGTTGCCTTTTAATTAACTTGTCCCTTTGACTTGGTTTTGATTATAGAAACTTAAAATCTCTACAATGAAGTTCAGTTCTGCTGAAGGACTTGATGTTTGATTATGATGGCTCCAATAAGCCATTTGAAACTTTCCTGTTTAGAAAAGCCAAAAATGCCAATAAGTTTAATGTGAATTAATTAAAAATGATTAAAGAGCGGTGTTTCAATTCACCTCCTGGTATTTGCATTGGGCCAAGGGCAATATAACCTGCTAGTCTGCATCAACTTCAAATGTGGGCAGAAGAATATACAGCCTGATTTGGAAGTTAAAGAAAAGCCAACTGTGCCTAAAGAATTCCATAATCACCTTGGTACTGAAATGGAAATTTTTACCACTAGTTTAACTATAATTATATATATGGGTTTAATTTGCAAAGAACATTTTAATTTGGTTTTCTATTATTCCTTACTTAGAAAGTATCTTATATCTGCCAGCTCCCAACCTAACAAGATTCATTTTTTTGACTAATAATATATTAAATGATTAAAAACATTTTAATGAAGATTTTTCCTTATGAATACATACTTTCCAGTAAAAATGGAAGAATCAGGAAAATAAAAGAAATGTCCCAGGCCCAAGCAGGGACGTGACCCTGGATCCTGGAAGGTTAGGTATAGTCATCAAAGCCAAGCCTGAGCTGCTCAAGGTATCCTGCTACCATTCATTTTTAATTGGAAATATAGACCAAAAGTATGAAGCTAGACATGATGGAAATTGTATCTGGAGAAACACAAGAATACACAACTTTTCTGGTTGGCAGGTGTGCTGGAAGATGATCATCTAAGAAACCAACATCACATTCTTCAATTTTGTTTCAATAGTTTCAAGCTCAGGAAGGAAATTAATTAAATTTCATTAGACTTTGTTTCATCATTTCTAGTATTTTAAGAAAGTCAACATGGCAGTAGTTTTCATGCCCCTTACTGGCTGGAAGCTTAGATTTTTCTTTTTAGTGATGATATTCAGCTCTTGTGGTTCATGGATTTGTGCCTGGGGTCATTGAATATTGTCTGTGACTTACAGAAACAGCAATCAGATGTATGGGCGTGTTGCACTTCATATACCCAAAGATTGTTTACATTTTTTCTCTCCTCCTCCTCCTCCTCCTCCTCYCCCCTTTTGTCCTCTGCTCTCCACACTGCCTTCATGTTTTGACTTTTCTTTTTCTCCTTTTTCCTTCTGCCATTTCATTTCTGATTGTCTTCTCTACTTTGTCCTTTCTTGTCCTGCTCTCTCCTCATCCTCTGGTTCTGTTCATCTCTTATACCACCACCAGATTGGTTTCTCTGCCAGAGTATCTCCAGTTCAAATGCCACCAGAGCTGCTTCTCCCCCTGTTGCCTCTGGAGCAGCTTCTCTTTACACACTGATGATGAGGCTTCAAACCGGAAAACCTCGTAAGTCATGGGTGAAAGCAACACCCAAGAGAACTGAGATCATGCATGGGGGCAGGGTCCTATAACTGCTCCCCATGTTATGATAACCTATGGCTTAGCACCTACCTACTATCCCCGTATAAAGCTCACTGCCTATTAGAGATTCACACACTGTTATCATATTATGATTCTTCATATTAAAAATTTGAAACTTTAAGATATCATACTTTTTTAATATTATATGACTTTTTAACGTTTGTGTTCTGTAGAGATGATTTATTCTGGTAACTTTGTTTAATTTATAAGTGTTTCTATATCCAAATAAGCATTTTAGTCCCCTCTTCTTAATCCCCAGATAATAACATATGTGCTATGATCTTATCCAGTGTCATTTGGCAAAAAGGATTGGTTAAATTTATAAACCATAATGGGATTTCAGGAAATTTAAAACACTTCATAAATGAGGCTTAATTAAAGACAAAAAAAAGTGCTCTAACACAAAGTTTTTAAATAAACTTTGTTAACATATAGTTTCCTCCTTGTATTCAGACTTTAACTATTTAGAATTGATTAATAAACACACACCTTGAATTGCATCAACTATTGAATTCATACATTTGTCAGCTTGACCAGAAGGAAAATGTTGATATTGATGCAGTAGAAACCTGGTTTGTCTCCAGATCCTGGTTGAGATAGACTTCTGCCAATGTGGCCATAGACCCAGCTAAATTAAATGATGCAGTATATGCACATATGTGCACCTTAGATCTATGAAGACCAATGCTGTATTATTTCATATGTAAGAGAAAGTAGTTTTTAAGTTTTTAGACGGTTGATGCCATTAAACTTGGAATGACATAATAAATGCTCTGAGTTTTTAAAGATGARTGGAATACTAACTTGGGACCTGGAGGAAGGACAGATGCAAACTGGGTCTTTTTGAGGATGGCTGGGGTTGGATGCTCCAGGTGGAGGTGAGGTGAAAGAACATGAGATGAGCAAAATCTTTTTCAGAGATGAGGCATGTTCGAGAAAGAGGGAGGAATCTGTCTCTTTGGGGGACAAGCTGTGTGCTGTAACAGAGGTGGAAGGACATGGCATGGAGAAATGGGTTCATAGATTGCAGAACTAGAAAGGCCTAGGTCATCCTGGCTGACCCTTCCCACTATGAGGAAGAACCCCAAGTCCTCATTGCCTTTCATACGTTAACCATGACTAACATTTCTTCTTAACCGCACCCCACATGAAATTTTACTATGTTTCCTATTTCATGTGGAATGGCAGTTCATGACTGTTTACCACCTATATACTTGATTTTATGTGAAAAAATAAAAAGTTCAAATTTAGGTCCTTATTTGTATATTTTAACTCAATAATCCCATTCCATCATTCTATAATACCATAATATCTTTATGGTAATAATTTTTTAGAGTTTTTAAATGACACAAAGATATAGATGTCATTAATATGATTTTTACTGGAGAGAAAACTTTATTGAATGATCGCTCTGTCCCAGACACTGTGCTAAGAGCCCCTGTGATTTATTTCTCAAGGCCTCTTGGAGGTAGCTACTGTAGGACCTAGTAGATCAAACAGTAAGTGAAGGAGATAGAATTTGAATAAAAGTGGCCTGATTGCAGTTCTCCCACTCTGCTGTCTTGCCTGYGTATTCATAGGGGCACTCTCTGCCCCAAGTAAATATCCTATTTGCTCTAACGGGGATACTCCCTGGGAAGTCACTTTCTTTGGGGCTCTGTCCAAGTGGCCTAAGGGAGCATAATCTCTGCTTTGTGATGTACAGTCCCTTAGCACAATGCTGGAGAAGAATCTGGGCTTGCATATCTCTACAACTTGTTGGAGTCTTGTGAACAATGCCTAAGAAGACCAGGAAAAGAAAAATATAGGTATACTGTTTGCTTATCAGTGTGTTCGCATATTCTCGCATAGGTTGTTCCCTAAGAGGGGATCTCTGCTTGCTAAGCCCTGGGCTTGTAGCACCCTACAGGAGAAGCTTCAGCTATCCCTTCGTAGAAGTTGTGTTTTTTTCTAGTTCACTCTGTTGTCATATGAAGTAGTGTAGTATCTGACTAGTATGTTAGAAGATATTATTGTATTAGAAAAGAAAATCTTATGTAAAAATGAGAAATATTTCCTAAATAAACAACAGGGGCTAGGACAAAACATTCTATTTCTACAATTTTGTCTTTACATGTCTGCAAATGTGAAGACATTGAAAGGAAAGTTTAGTAAATGAAACTGGCTTTTTGCTGAAGGAGATTATGTGTAAGCTTTTCACATTTTTTGTTTCTATGGTGCTTTAGGAGGTATACATTGAATATATGCCCATAGCTCAGATAGGCAAAAGCCAGATAATAAAAAGTCCTTGGATTTGGGACTTTGGCTTTTATTGTGTAGACAGTTCAGTGAGAAAACTGTATGGTATGATCTGACTTTTCAGGCACTGAATATCAGAGGAAAAGATTGCCAAGGTCACTGAGGCTTGGATCTGAGTTACATGGCTCCCTGAAATTTAGAATGTCCAGCAAAGAATATTTTTTAATATTCAAAAACTGACTTGGTGGTCAAAGAGGTAAAGCAAAGAAGAAAGCGTTGTGTATAATTGATTAGAAGAAAAACAGAAGTACTAATAAATACAAAAAAATTGGAAACTGGAAGGAATTTCAAATGTTGTTTAGGTCAAGTGCTCTTTTTGATGATGAGGCCTAACTCCTAGGTTTTATTCTCCAGTGTGTTACCTGCTTCCTGCAAATCTGTCTTCATGTTTTAGCTAATGGCTTTTATGTTTTATTGGCCTTTATTGCAATCAACACTTTTCTTCACACCAGAATTATTTTCATGATATCTTTAACAGTCATCCTATTAAAGAATATGGGAATACCAACTCTTTACCAGTTTTGTTTTATAAAAATAATTTAGAAGAACTAATCTCTTTGAAGTTCTTCCAAGTTTTTTTTTTTTTTTAATTTCAACAAGTCACATTTTCAATTTTAATTGTTGAGGGGGAAAATTACCTATATTCTTAATTTCAACCATTATAGTAGCACATTAAAAAAAAAAGATCTTTGAATTACATGTTAAAAACTCAAGGACTGGGGATATAGCTCAGTTGGTTGAGAGCTTGCTTTGCATTCACAAGACCCTAGATTCAATCCCCAGGACTGCCCCTGTCTCCCCTCCCCCCCCAAACCAGTCATAGTTGAAGCACTTTTTATCTTCATTTACTACCAGGAGGCTGAACTTGGTTTTGTTCCTTTTCCAGTTTACAGAAGTTAGGAATTTGAGTTCTGAGATGATCATTATCTTCTTCCCTGACCTTTTCTGTCCTTCCCCTAATTATGTAAAATTTGCTCTGATTTAGTGGTCTTCATCAGTAAGAGTCATCACCTATGTTCTATTTTGCATGTGTTTCTTCTGTCCTCATTTATTCAAAAGTTTTTGTCTGGAAGGATACTTATTGAAAAATTTGACTTAAAAGGGAAAAAAGATATTAAGAAAAATACTATTCTCAAGGCTTGAATTTCCTGTCACCCCATAACTATCACTCAGTGAAGTAGCACTCTCAGCACCTAATTTGAAAGAATTGAGAATATTGTAAAGGAGTAGAAAAATAAGGAATAGTGAGAAATAGGAAACACCTGAATATTATTTCTAAGGGGAAAGAAAAATTGGAGATACTCCTTAACCTGATGCATTGTTGATTTAAAGATTTGAGATGTTAGAAATTGCAGTGATCATCTAAAAAATGAAGTCTTTCTGCAGAAATCTTCATGTTAAGTAAAATAAGATAAATCTTCATGTTACATCAAAAGACAAGTATCATGTTTTCTCACATGTAGACTCTAGGAGAAACAAAAAAAAAATGACCATATAAAAGTAGAAAGGGGACTATTAGGAGAGGGAGGGGAAGAAAGTAATTGAGGGTAATGGGGAGGGTGGATATGCTCAAAGTATATTATATCCATGTATGAAAATGTCACAAAATAGTCCATTTTATAAAACTAATATGCACTAGTAATTAGAAATGCTGAAAAATAAGAAAAAAAATGAAATGAAGTCTTTCTAAATTTGGCAGACTTTCCAAAAATAATCCAACTAGAAACTTTTCATCTTTCTTTATAGTACATTTGCAATCAGAAATAATCAGAATGTTGTATTGCTATGTTTCAGAGTTTTGTATTTTTTGTTTATTTGAAGTTGTTAAAAGGGAAAAATGTACTTGGGTTAAAATGTATATTCCAGTTGGGTGCAGTGGTGCATACCTGTAATCCTAGCAACTTTGGAGACATGAGGCAGGAGGATCACAAGTTCGAGGCCAGTCTAGATAACCTAGTGTTACCTTGTCTCAAAAATTAGGAAGGGGAGCGGAGATGTGGCTCACTGTAGAGCACCCCTGGGGGCAATCCCTAGTACTGGGTGGGGGAAGTACCTTCCAGTTTTTCAGCTGGGAACTTGTTTTAATGACCCTACTAGCAAAAATGGAGACCACTAAAATTATATAGCTTGTGTGTGCACAATATTGGCAAATTTGTGAAATATATTTTAGCACATTTTCAGTATGTCTTTTCTCCAATGGAAAATTGATGGAGAGACTATGGAAATRGAAAAACAGGTCACCTGGTCAGTGCATTGATGGAGATCTGTCTCATGATTCTTAGATTGTGGACATGATGGGGTTTAGGATCTGCCTCATATATTGAGATTAAATTTATAATTTCTGTAAAAAGCCTGGCACAATAGTATTCAATGAATGTTATAGTATACAGGATAAAGAAAAACACTGAAGATGACTCAGCAAATTCCTACAGCTGTGGGCTAGTCCCTTAACGGGCAAGATTGACTATGTACTCAATTTGTGAAGGGTACCTTTCCAAGTTCTAGGGATACAGAAAGATATATTGAATCATATTTTTATTTGTTGGMGGCTAGGAAGGGACTTTTTCATATTATATCACTATCTCTTTTTTCGGGGGGGGCGGTTATCAGGGATTGAACTCAGGGGCACTCAACACAGCGTCACATCCCCAGCTCTTTTTTGTATTTTCTTTAGAGACAGAGTCTCACTGAGTTGCTTAGCACCTTATTTTTTTTTTTAAAAAAAGTTAATTTGTTATATATAATAGCAAAATGCATTAGAATTCAYATTACACATATAGAGCACAATTTTTCATATCTGGTTGTACACAGAGTAGAGTCACACCATTCGTGTGTTCATACATGCACTTAGGGTAATGATGTCCATCTCATTCCTCCATCTTTCCCACCCCCAATCTCCTTCCTTTCCCCTCTCTCCCCCTTGCCCTATATAGAGTTCCTCTAATTCTCCAGTGCTCCACCCCCAACCCCATTATGAACCAGCATCCTTAAATCAGAGGGAAATGAGGAAAACTACCCCATTTATAATTTCTTCAAAAAAATTAAAATATTTGGGAATCAACTTAATGAAAGAGGTGAAAGACCTCTAYAACAAAAACTACAGAATGCTAAAGAAGGAAATTAAAGAAGACTTTAGAAAATGAAAAGATCTACCTTGTTCTTGGATAGGCAGAATTAATATTGTCAAAATGACCATACTACCAAAAGCACTATATAGATTTAATGCAATTCCAATCAAAATACCAATGAGATTCCTCATAGAAATAGCAAAAGCAGTCATGAAATTCATCTGGAGAAATAAAAAGACCCAGAATAGCTAAAGCAATCAGCAAGAAGAGTGAAGCAGGTGGCATCAGTATACTAGACCTTAAACTGTACTACAGAGCCGTAGTAACAAAAACAGCAGGGTATTGGCACCAAAATAGACTTGTAGACTTGTAGACAGCGGTACAGAATTGAGGACACAGAGACAAACCCACATAATTACAGTTATCTTATATTAGACAAAGGCCCCTAAAATGTCATGCCTCATTCTTGCTGAGGCTGGCTTTGAACTYTTGATCCTCCTGCCTCAGCCTCCTAAGCTGTGAGATTGATCACAGKTGTGTGACATCACACTCAGCATATCATTATCTCTTCATGAAATTATTGGGAGTTAGTCAAGAATTTTAGGCCCAGTTTACAGATGAGGAATTTGGTGCTTTGAGAATTTGTGAATCACCGTTAAGTTCAGTAGCCAGAGTTTCTAACCAAAGTCTTCTGACTTTATCTGCAATTTGAAAAAATGTGTCCACTAAATGTTAAATATCATATAAAAGTACGCCCAAATTAATGATGTAGAAATATAGCGACTAGGGTCAATGGCAAAACCTGTGGAGAGATTGATGAGACTTGATGTGGGTATGAAATGAGAGGTAAGCCTTGGAGGAGTGGCTGGGAACAGGGAGAAGTTGGGAAAGTGCTAAGAGCAGTGTTTGCATGGGGAGACTGTACATGTATGGTTCCTTTAGTTAGCAATGTGTGGATGAGTCTTGCTGGGAGTAGATTAGAGCCAGTAGATGTAATAATTTCAAGGCCAGGTTGTGAATTTATCATTGTTGCTTATTGGCARTGATTTAGAAGGTTTATGAAAAGAGGAGATAATTTAGGATGAAACATAGAAATATTTTAATTTTAAGGTCATAGGATGGATTCCCTAAACAATTTTTGTATAGGGATAGCTCATGCTTAGTTTCTCAATAAGTAAACACCTTTGACAAAGGTGACAAATCAAAAAATTCAGATTTATAATACCTCTTTCTTCACATGATGGATTGGCAGCCTGTTCTTTCACATAATCTATTTTTTAAAAGCATGTGCCTTTGAGACCTTTGATTACAGAATRTTCTAGCAGTTATCTGGTTTCTACTGGGAAATCTAGACAAACAGAAAATTTTCATACTTGATTAAAAAAAAAGTTCACTRGGAGTTTTGTTTCTCCCCTCTTTCCTTGTATCTGTCTCTCTGT